TTGCTCCCATATACTTTTCTGTTATAGATCAGCAACAATCAGCACCTACAGATAACCCCAGGGGTATCGCTTTGCACGCTCTCCATAATGAATAAATGTGAAGCACAACTGCTGAGTTAGAACCATGTGTCCTTTCGATAGATACTGAGAAACTGTCCTCCAGAATAGCCGGACAGCTCGTTCTTTGCCATGCATGCCCACGCTGAAGCCTGGTCTTCCCTGTGTCTCCACGCATACAAGATGCTATCAGACTCTTTGAACTTTGTGAGGAGAAGCTGAAGCACTGCTTTCGTGCATGGCGTTTTGGATTTGGCAAGGTGGGCTTGTGTTTTTGGAGGACTTTGTGTTTTATTCTATGACAGTGACAGGAGCCTCATGCTTCTCAGCACTGAATGGGGCTAAAATGAAGAAGCCTGTAGCACAAATAATAAAAACCCAGAGACAGATATTGGGGTTCGAGCTGAAGATCAGAGAAGTAAAGCAGCTAAGCCGGGATCTCTTAATTCTACCAAGGGCTGGGGAGATCCTGTCCTCACCACGGCTGGAAACTAAATCTCAGAATGCAGCCTGAAACACTGGGCTCCTGCCTTTTATAAACCTCTCTAGTTCTGGGATTAAAGGTGTGAACTCTGTTTCTCTTTTAGAGGGATTCACTCTCATGTGTAGCCCTGGGTGGACTTCAACTCACAGAGAGATCCATCCAAGTCCTGGGATTAAAGGTGTGCGCCACCACTTCCCAGCTTCTGAGGCTTCTACTTACTCCTATCTTGACTCTAAAAACAGAAGCATCATGGCCGGAACAAAAGGCACCAAAGGGGCGGTGGGGGGGGGTCTTCTTCCCAGAACACTTAGAATTCACTTAAGAGAACAGTACACTTCAGATATGCCAACGAGTGGGAGAGGGGAGGGCTTGCAATCTTCAATTTACTACATTGCTGGAGAGGATGCTTTAAAATGAACTCCCTGCCACAAAGTGAAAGCAATAAATGCCCGCTGGATACACAGAATCTACACTCCCCTGCTTTCCTGAGGATGTGGCTTTTGATTTAATTCTCTAAGAAAGACCGAGCCTGAACACCAGAGGAGGAAGAAAGAGGTACGACTGTGGCTGGCTCTGCTCACTGCCCCCGCCTACGCGATGCCCTGTTAGTTAGCCATCTACACCTTCCCATAATGCAGCTATGAAACAGCTTCAGGGGGCCTTAGCTCGGATGTGGGATGTCAGCCCACAGGTCCATTTGCTGGAGACTTGGTCCAAGAGAGTGTTAAGATGGAACTTTTAAGGCAGTGGTGGTGCCCGCCTTTGATCCCAGCACTGGGGAAGCAGAGGCAGGCGGATCTAAGTCTGAGGCCAGCCTGATCTACAAAGCGAGTTCCAGGACAGCCAGGGCTGCACAGAGAAACCCTGTCTCAAAGGACAGCAGCAAAGAAAAAGAGGTGGGACCTGATCCGTGGTCCTCAGATCACTAGGGCCACCGCAGTGACATTTGGTGGCTCTTGACAAGACTTCAGAGGTCAACCAGCCAGCCTCGTCCCTCAGAGTTCACCCTGCCTCCAGTTTCAAGGCTCAGACATGGTTCCTGACACAGGGCTTCAACTCCTCCTGGGGGCAACTTTGACTAAATCATTCTCAAGAGTAGCCAGCCGGCTTCAGGAATTCCCCTGTAGTGACAAGCTAGGCAAGACACTGAAGTACCCTCATTTATCCCCCGTGAACAAATGGCCTCACATCTTGAACATAAAAAAGGCCTAGGATGCCAATACACATCCTACCATGCCACAAACAGCCCTCCCCATGCAACAAAGAACTATCCAGGCCAAAAGTGTCCTGTTCCTGAGACCCCAGCTAGAGATCAAGGGCTGCCTGCTGCTGCTGCTGTCCTGTGTATTACTACAGTAGATCCATGTCCTGTCTCCTCTTTCCCTCACTAAGAATGCTAATGCTCACTCCCATTTTTCTACTTTGTACATCACCAATTTTCATGTCATCCATAAAAGACTAGATCTGAAACAGATCATGAACAGCTTCGGGCCATTAAGGAAATGTAGGATCTTCCACGCAGCAGCAAACAGTCCCGGAGACCAGATGTGCAGGATCTCCCACCCGCCACCCCCCTTCCTCTTCTCCTGACCCTACAACTCATGAGGTCCTGCCTGCCTGTGGCTAGGCAACAAGGCTATATTTCCTCATCTCCAATGACATGACCAAACCTGACAGCAGCTAAATTAGCATATGTGTACCTCCAACTTCTGCTTCCTCCTTCATCCTGGGGACCTTGCCAGGTCAGCTGCTAACACCTCAGCTGGCAAACACAACATGGGTTGGGTCAACAATGTAAAAGCTCTCCTCGGCCTTGCCTTCCCGTCACCAGGCTGACCAAGAGAGGGGCCAGCTGATGTTTTGATTTTCATCTCTTTGTTTAAGGAACAACATTGATACACTAAACAGTACAATTTGCAGAGGAAAAGAGTAAACACTGAAAGTAACAATGTAGAAACATTGTAATTGCAGTGATGGAAGCAATGACTGCCAAATAGTCCATTATGAAAAGAGAGACTTTAAAAGTCCAGTGACACACAGAGAGAGGAAGACTTTTCCCTCCTAGGTAACATCAATTGCACTTCCACAGACTTGCTACTCATGAAACACAGAGTCTCTCAAATTAACCTAGTTGGGGTTAAAGCATTTACTATGACCTTATTTTCATACATTTTTGGACATATCACTTCAAAGTTACTATCATTCACCTTAAGCAGGCATAGTTATTTTAGCAATACTGCTAAAAGAACTGAATGATGTCACATCAAAGAAGTATTTGGCCCAGAAGAGACTCTGGCATCAGACTGCCTGGGTTCAAAACCCAATTCCCAGTTGGGAATTTCACTCTGTGCATGTCTCTGTATTCAACTACATATTGAAATAATAGTGCTCACCTCCAAAAATTGTTAACAAACATTAAAACCTATAAAGAAAAAAAAAATAATACACATGGCACACAGTCAACATAAGTTTCTCAAGTAAATAAAAACAATTTGTTAAAAAGTAAACACCCAATTTTTGTTCTGATTTTAAACCAAAGGCCATGTTTTTACATTCTCCCAGGCACACGGCCCACATGTTTCCCTTTCTCACTAAATAAATTTTTTGAGTGCAGCCAAAGTTGCCCTTCTGATCCAGATTTGTAACTAAGGTATTATACTTGATCTCTCTCTCTCTCTCTCCCAACCCCCCCCCCATACAGACACACTAGCCTAGTAAAACTATCAATTTCCACAATGTCCAGAGGGAAAGAGAAAACAGGAAACCAGAAATAGGAAGATGCCATGACTACCAGTTACAAACAGGGGTGATGTTGAAATCATTATTGGCAAAATGGGTCATTCATGGAAAACGTAAGTGTGGCCAGTAGTTAGGGATGGTGGCTCACACCTCTAACACCAGCCAGCACTTTGGAGATTAAACAAGTGAAATTTAGGACCAACCAACTTCATGAGACACTCTTATTTACAAAAACAAAACAAAACAGTCCTGGCAGCAAGAAAATGCCTATGGTTCAAATTTAAAATCCATGTACCAGTAAATGCTGCTTCCAACACGAGAATTTCTGACAGGGTGGCAACCAAAGCCAAAGGGTTACAATGAAAACACAGCCTGAAGAGTCGGAGTTCCAAAACGAATGTGAGATCTTTGCTTTTCTTAAATAAACACCAATTCAGACCTTTATAAATGCTTTATTTCATAAGATCTGCTACAAACCCAAACTCTTCAAGTGTGTCAATGTCAAACAAGGATTTCTTTTTATGGGGGAGACAGGTAGACGGGCCGAAACTCTAGTAGGGGGAGTGAACAAATAACGAGGTACACAGGGGCCTAGGTGCCAGTGATTTTGATACCTATTCAGACTTGAAGAAAGCGAAGTTCAGGGTTACAAGGAAGGAGAGGCCAGACTGCCGTGTGCACAAGTCAAGGCAACAGATAAACAATGAGCAACCATGAACAATCAGTTCCTTCACAAGGGCAGGAGTCTGGTTCCAGTTGAACGATCAGATAGAGTAGCTAAGAGTTAAACCTTCTGCAGGCCAGGTAAATACTTAGCACAGTATTAGTTAATAAGGTATTTCTTGTTGTGGCCCTGAGCATTAATCCTTGATTCCCAGGCATCAGCCTGGGCTGAGTGGAACCTGTGCCCTGCAATCCACTCTGCCAGCCTGGCCAAACAATTTGCAAACTGAGACTCTCACCCGAATCCCCCTTCAATAACTGAGTCATCTCCAAGAGGCAGCCGACAACTAGAATATGTACAAAAACAAAGGGCGTGGCAAGTAACAACACAGGAATACACAAGAATACATTTCAAATGTTGGGATGAGAACATCTGGGAATAAACAAGAGCTGCACGAAGTTTTGTTTTGCTTTTTAAAGTTCTACGAAAAAAAACAAAAAAAAAAAAAAAAAAAAGCAAAAAAACAAAAAAAGCAAAACAGCATAGTCATTTCACTGGTATTGGTTTGGAAATTCTGCCACACACACTTTCTAGTCACATGAAACAAAGCAAGAAACAGTTCAAGACAGGGAAACAGTAAAAAATGGCCTGGGGCGGGGGAGGGGGGAGGGAGAAAGTAGAATACTAGTTACTAACGTAATAAACAGTCTGACAGAGTTCAGATTCTAATTGTGTTACCAGAACCGACCTCTCTTACCAATTTAAAAGTTCTGTAATCATTTCACATATTGAAAAACCAAAGCTGGGCCGGGCTATGGTGGCGCAAGCCTTTAATCCCAGCACAGGAGAGGTAGGTGGATCTCTATAAATTCAGGGCCAGCCTGGTCTTTAGAGAGAGAGTTCCAGGACAGCCACCCACGGTTGTTACACAGAGAAACCCTGTCTGGAAAAACCAAAAAGAAAACCAAAGCTAAGAGAAAGAACAGAGCAGCGAGTTAGTTTAAGACCTTTTAAAAACTTAGTTGGCACTTAACTATTTGAGATGTGACCACTTACCAGTCAGTGATATATTGTGGCTCTCCAAGGAAAGGTTTGAGTACTTTGCCATCATTTCGTCTCGAACAGGAAGACTTGTAAAAGACGAATCTGTAAGACAAATTACACGAGGTTACATTTCAGATATCCTCACCAAGACTAGATAGTTATTCAAAATCCAGCTTGGAACTGGCCAGATAGCTTAGTGGGTAAAGGTGCTTGCTGCCAAGCCTGGTGATCTGAGTTTGGGTGTGTGTATGTGTACACCCACACATATGCGTGCTAAAAGGGTCTGGTCAGCATTCTCTTAATAATAGAAATGACTTACTTCCACTGCTGGGCATAAGTCATATAGATTAAAGCAGTAACACAGTAAGTCTGAGGCAGACGCCACTCACTCAGTGCTGTTCAGGATGAGAAACATGGATGGAGAAGAGCAGCTATTGTGACTGACGGCCATCTGATCTTGAACACTGCAAAGCATACACCCCCTTATCTGGGAGCCCTCCTTCCTTGGCCTAGCTGATGACTGTGACATTTCTCACCGCACACTCTAGTCCTGAAACAAGAATGACCAAATGTCGCCCACTCTCGTGGCGGCTCAGCCACAGGAGACTTGACAACAGCTGACATCAAGTGCCCGACTGCACTTAAGGAGGGATAAAAAGTAACCTGGTGTACAGTTTGTGCTGCCAAGGAGTAGGGAGTGGGTGAAACTGAACCCTGAAAATCCAATGTGTGGCTTGGGCCACAAGTGCTTGAGTCATTAAAATTTCAGAGAAGCACTCATTCCTGGCATCAGTGTCCTGAGCCTGGGTCATTCATACAAGCCAGCACAGGATCTACAGAGGGTGAGCTTCACTTTGGAAAGGGCATGAAGGTAAAGGGTACTGTGGGAGACCAGGGCTGGGGTGGTTTTCCTTTCCTAACCTCCAGGGACTAGCTACGGAGGAACCTATGGAGATCTCCTCTACAACAAAGAAGAGGAAGGGATCCAAAGGCTGGAGTTCAACAAAATCTCAGCTCACGGCAGGTGAACCGGGAGAAACAAGACCCCCGATTCAAGAGAATCTGGAGAATGCCAGAATACTAGTGTTAATCTTTTTTCTTATTCTGATTTTTGAAGACAGGTTCTCCATGTAGTCCCGGCTCATCTGGAACTCACTCTGTAGACTATGCTGGCCTCAAACTCACAGAGATCCGCCTGCCTCTGCCTCCTGAGTGCTGGGATTAAAGGCGTGCACCACCACTGCCCGGCTAAAGCATCAATCTTTATCAGGCTCCACTTTCCACTGAACATGCAAAACAATTCCTTTAAGAAGCAACAGGAACTAATACTATGAGTATAAGAGCAGATGAAGAGATGCTAGAATAGTAAAAGTGAGTTCTTTGTTTGGACAAGATATTCTATAATCAAAAAAAGTGAGACTGTAAACCGTATTGCCTCACAGCTGGCAGTGAGGGGCTGATTTAGCAAACCTGCTTATTATGCAAAAGAAACTGACTGGGGGAAGGCTCGGGGACTGATGTGGTTCAGAAAGTCCTTGAAAAGGATTAGGCTGAATCACAAAAAGAAATACAAAATGAAGAGGTAGGAACTGTGTGTTCCAATCCAAGTTGGGCCAGTGGCTTGTGACCTGAACCGTCACCACGTGACTGATAATCGCTCAGTGCTTTGATGACAATGTCTCCACCATAAATCTCAGTTACTAGAGAAGGGGCGGGGGAGGACTGGGAAGTCACACAGAGTGATGGTGCCAAGTCCAGAACATGCATTCTTCAAGGTATTACAATCGCTCTCTTCTTAATCATTTCTGGACACTTTCCACCTGGCTTGCAAAACACCAACATAAAACAACAGCTAGTGGTTGTGCAGAGAGATTATAGGTTTTTCCCTGCTCCCTCTGAGGGGAGACAGTGCATGAAGATACTGCATCAGAGAAGTGAGTGGCAACCTAATTTTCAACCTACAGTTACCTGATGTGGAAAATGGATTTCCATTAACAGTTTTTAAACAGGTCTTGCTAGAGGGGCTTATAATTATGGTGTTCCACTATCAAGTGAAACAAATGTTACAGTGTCTTCTATTGTTACACACACCTAACTCTGTGCTTTTGATTACGTGCCTTGGTGGCCCACGCCTTTAGTCACAGCACTCGGGAGGCAGAGGCAGGCGGATCTCTGTGAGTTTGGGGCCAGCCTGGTCTAGAGAGTAGAGTTCCAGGAAAAAACTCTGTGCTTTGTTTAAAAGAAGCAAACAGGAAGGGTTGTAAGAAAGAATGCTAGAAAATGGGGCAGAGTCTTAAAACTTGCTTTTGATTATGTAAGGAGAGAGTCAAGTGCATCTCCTGTAAGAATAACTACTTCCTCTAAGCTGGACCTGCTGGTGCAGGCCTGTAATCTCTGTGGGTACTCGTGCGGCTGAGGCAGGACTACAAACCCCAGGTCTGTCTGGGCAACTCAAGGAGATACTGCCTGGTTTATACCCCACTGACATATCTCAGCCCTCTTCTATCACTCTGAGGCAGTAACTCATTGAGTAACACAATTATAAGAACACTACAACTTAGGAACAGGTAAGGTACACTAATGGTAAACTCTAAGTGTGAAAAATTAGTGTATTTCTTCAATAACATATACAGGCACAGGACTGCAAATATTATGGCTTACCTTTAGCTCTAAGACATCTTATTACCAGGCAAAATCCTGCTCAGGAACAATGCATTTAGAGTTACATTTCTGGATTCTAGGCATCTAGTATTCCTATCCCCTTTTATAACTGTTGTGTCGTGGTGTGTCGCCAGGATGCTTGGAACTGTGGGCTTGTTCCAGAGTTTGTGAAGAAAATAAAGGACTGCCAAGAAAATGTAATGAGTTGGCCGGATGGAATCATGTACTAGTCAACTTTTAAGAGTCAAGACAAAGAACGTTCCAGGCAGGTTACTAGCATGCTTTCAGACAATATGAGAATTACTGGACAGGAAGGCCGTTTATCATTGAGTTTTAAAAAAATAAAACTAATGAAAAGCACAGTGTGTACTTTTACAAGGCCTCCTAAAAACATCCCATAATAACTATCCCCACAGCCAAGCATTATTCAGACCAAAAAGTAAATGACACAAAGACAGAGAAAACTTGGTCTGAGCAGATAGAGCCTCAACCCCCATTCTCGGTTTGGTATGGATGCTTTCTGTAACCTTCAAATATTCCTGTAACTTCTTGGTCCTGTTCTCTACAGTTTACACACAAATACTTCAAAGCACAGACATCAGGCCAGCATTCACTGGTGACTAACAGCCCCCCTGCCCTGGGTCTACTCTGAGGATGGTTTTAGGAAGAAAACTCATGGGGGGGGGGGTGAGGGAAATCGCTTAAGTGTGAAACAAGAAACCGGCTATGGCTTGCTCCTTGCCCCTAGATATATTACAAAGGTACTTGGGAGTGTTAAGATAAATCAAAATTCCCTTTCAGGTTCTTAACTTGTGTAACTAAAAGGCCAAAAAAGATTTTATCTTGGCCTGGATGTGATTGTACACGCCTGTAATCTCAGCACTTGGGAAGGGGATGAGGGATTCAATTCACCCTGGGCTACACAGTGAGTCTAAGGCCAACCACAGATGTATAAAACCCTGTCTCAAACAAAACAAAACAAAAACAGAGAAGACTCTGTTAGGGGATTAGGAGGGATACATTAGTTATGTTAACCTCAGTAACTTTAAAAACAGAAAAAAAAATGCATTCAGTAAAACAAACAGCACCGTCTCTAGAGTCAATGTCTCTCATTTCTATAATAACATTAAAGAGATGTTGTTATACCTGAATGATGACAGTACCTTGAGCTGTTTACTTTTAACAAAATGTTGCAAAGGAGTCTTTTCTTTCCTGTCTATGTAGTGTATGTGTGCTAAGTTATTTAGTCACAAGGTTGCCCTTTTTATTGCAAAATAGAAGACAGCTGATGGGAGATGTCATTCTGTATATGTTTCTCATACTGGTTAATGAATAAAGCACTGTTGGCCAATAGGAAAGGAAGATAGGAGGGACTAGGAGACAAGGAGGAAATAGGAAATAGGAAGAAGGAGTCAAGATGGAGAGTCTGGAGAAAGCAGAATGCCGGCCGGCTCCCCGGTAAGAGAAATACATAGATCAACAGAAATGCAGAAATGGGTTAATACTTAAGACAGAGCTAGCCGATAAGAAACTAGTACCGGGCCAACAGAATTATATCTAATACAGAGTTTCAGTGTGTTAATTGGGGCTGGTGCGGAGGCGGGATAAGACCAGGCAGCGGGAGGAAAACCCGTACTCCTTACAGACAGCAGCACACATCTGACCATTTCTGTTTAAGGACATGTCCTTTAGAAAAACGTACCAGGAGTTGGAGGGACAGCTCAACAGTTAAGATCACTTAGTGGTCCCGCAGAGGAGCTGGGCTCAGTACCTACCATGCACACCAAGTGGCTCATAACCACCTATAATGTAACTCAAGTTCCAAATACTACAACAAACCCCTCTGGCCTCCACCAGCACCTAATGGTACATATAAACACACGCATGCACACGCTCACACACACTTAAAAATGGAACCAAACACGCTGGTAACCAGGTCTCAGTTGCTTTAATGGAGCCCATGGTCAATGAAGCTTTCTCTGAAAATGCTAACTGTTTTTCTTCAAATAATCTCAGGTTCATATGAAATGTCGAAACCTGGCACTCCTTCCCCTGATCTAAGTGAACGGGTTCATTGCTGACGTGATAAATCAAGCCTCTCTAAGGCATTATGGAACATTTCCTGCAACAGAGATATCCCACATCATCCCAGACTGCACTGAAATAGGGAAGCTGCCATTTCTGCATGGCCAGCTCATGCCACACCCCTGATGATGATGCGGATCTATGTAACCTAGGGTGGCTTTACGCTTATGACCCTCTTGCATTAATCTCCTGAGTACTCCATCAATGGATTGTAGCTAATTGACACAGAAACTCATGAGTGCAGACTGATAATTAATTAAATTAGTGGACTGCTTCAATTTATTGTCACCTAGTACGATTATTTAATCGGATGCTCAGTTTGTTTCCCAGATCGGTTCCATGTGGACCCCTTACACTGCCTCCTGACTTTCAGACACAGCTCATTACTCTTGAAGAGTTTTCTGGAGGAGGATGTCCTCTTCCACTCACTGGAGAAATCTGTCATTTCTCCAATATTATTAAAAAGAATAGTCCTGAAAGCCAACATCTGGGTGCTAAGTATACCTAATCAGTGGTCAGGGCTACCAATATATGTTTGCAAGCTCAAACACAAGCACAGCATACTTGTAACATGAAATACACACACATATAATATGGACATTTATATATATATATATATATATATATATATCACATATATTTGTACATATGTGATTTGTAGTCATGCATTCACACTGATAACATCACAAAGGCTTTTCCCTCCCCAGCTCCTCTTTAGTTTCTTCTTGCCTAATGGAAAGCCTGCACCCGCTTTTCTTGATAGATTTCCTTATTTGATCAATTCCTGTGTATACAATAACATCCCCCAGAGTCATTCCCCTTGTCCGCTAGCTGCCTTGGAGCATGGGTGAGACATTACCTGTCTACTTGCCCCTGTCAGTAGCCCTTGTCACCCTGCTCAGCTCTGAGTCCAGGGCTGAGCTAATCTTTGCAGAAACGTCTTCTTCACTGTGCTGAGCCTACCCTCCCACCCTGATCCGTCTGTCCTCTTACTTGGAAGCTCCTCCAGCGACTACAGGACCCACCACTCAGGAAAATACGGAAGAGTTAAAAGCTGAGTCAGGGTGTTTAAAAGTTGGTTGTACATACTGTTAACATTTACACAACCAAATTATTGAAATATCCCAAGTAAAGATGGGCTTATAATAAATCTGTCCATTTAAACAGGTTAAACACCTTCTAAAAGAGCATTCTTATTATTATACTCTCATGTGCATTGGTGTTTTTGCCTGTGTAAGGGTATTGGGAGGGGGTCCCCTGGAAATATATTCAGACAATTGGGAGCTGTTCGTGTGGTGGCTGGGAATTGAACCTGCTTCCTCTGGAAGAGCTGTAACTGCTGAGCCATCTCTCCAGCCCAAGTGTAAATACCTTCAAAGACAAAAACTGCTAGTGTTTTCTACAAACACATTATCATGCAAATGTGGGCATTTAAGAAGATTTATTCACACAAATATTTGTTGCTAGGCAAATATGGAGGGACTAGCTAGTCGGGAAGGGAGCTAGTCAAAACAACACAGAAGCTGTATCTTTGGAAGTTAAGATGCTAGCTGCAAGCTGCACCACTGAAAAATGTTTCAAAACTAACCCATTACCTCAGTTTGTTACCTGTGATAATACCAATAATGACAGCAAATAGTCCTGCTTGCATAATGTTTCTTTTACAAAGACATTTTTATATCTCTCATTTAATTAAAAAGGGGGGCAGCTGAGATGACTCAGCAGGCAAGGGCTCCCCAATGTGAAGCTTAACAACCCGAGTTCAAGCTCTAGAACTCACATGGTAGAAGAAAAACTACTCTCAAGTTTTTCTCAGATGTTCATGAGCATACCGTAGCATCCAGGCATGAGCACATATGTATGTTCACAAAATAAATAAAACAATAAAGAAAATTAAGGAAAAAACAAAGAACTTGAAAAAGGCAGTAACCCTCTCCCCACACCTTACCACTGACTTCATCCCAGGACTGAAAACTGTCCTTCAGCCCCTATCACATGCTCAGACTGTTGCTACACTCTTGGTCTGTGGTTCCAAATTCTCCAGGGTACACCCAGTTTCTCAGAGAGCTGCCCTGAAGAGAACAGGCTGTGGAGTCAGGCTGACAAACTTCAAACTTTCTTCCGCTCCAGTACTAAACACGGTGAGCTCTGGCAATTGCTTAACTGAAGTCCCAACTTCCTCTTAGAAAATCAGGGAGAATAAAATCTAACTCATCAGCCTACATAGTACATACAGTGGACTGACACACATCCCTTACAAAATGTAAGTACAGGAATTTATTATACCCAGTTTATTATTGACGTTTGCCCCAACGTCTTATTTAAACAGAACACCTATCTCTAAGTAGTTCAAAGGATAAACACAAAAAGCATACGGTAAACCTTGCAGTATTCTTTTCTTAAGCAAAGAATAAGATGAATTTCATTCAAATAGCAAATCTAGAAAGCTCTGTAGACCTGATCAGTGTGTGAGAGTGTGTGTGAGTGTGTGTGTGTGTGTGTGTGTGTGTGTGCACGCGCGCTCATGAGCACACTTTTTCCCTACATCTGTGTCTGTACCCAGAGAGGCCAGAAGAGGGCATCAAATAGGAAACCCTGGGCCTTCAGTTACAGATGGCCATGGGCTACTGTAGTGAGATATTCACTTTGTCCTGTGGCACAGACCACGCCCATTGGGGGTGGGCACAGGGGCGGATGTTACCTGGGGGAACTAGGTCTGAGGAGGGGACTCCCAGGAGCTCTCTTGCTTGTAGCACGGGGACAGGAGAGCATGGAGGCATGCTGGTGTTCGTCTTGTCTATGTTGTAAGTTATTTCTCCCTGAATAAACATCTATTATTCAGCCTGTTTCTCCTGATCCTTATTAAACCGCAATAGGCTACCACTGTGGATGTTGGAAATTGAACCTAGGTCCTCTGTAAGAGCAGCCAGCTGAAAGTATGACCACTTTGGAGGTTAGCTTCAAAGCAGATGCCGATGCCATGCCTTTCAAGTGCACTATTGTTTCATAGCTTTCATCTGAGTGGAGGCTGTGAGCAAGTCCCATGTTCCCCTCTGTAACTGTGCACAATCATTGACAGCTTCATCTGCTTCCTAGCTTCCTCCCTTTAGAAGCCAGGTGTGGACATTAACTTCAACACCATGCCAGCAGAGTAGCTAACGATAGACCCGCAAGGTCTTATGTGATGTTAGCCTGCTTTGACTCACACAGAGAATTTTCAAAAACTAATAAGGCCCAGACTGACATCTATGCTAAATAAGTATGGTTTTTCTAGGGCCAAGACCTGGGTATCAGTCTTTTTTAAAACTCCTATAGTTTCCACCCAGTGCCAAGTGGAGAGCTAAACTTCTAGGACTGACCAAAACACACCGATTCTCAAAGCAACAGTTGAGGCTGGATTTGTAGCTCCATTGTGGAGTGGCTTCCTTCTGTGCAGGAGGACCAGAGTTAGACACCCAGAACTGAGGAGGGGAGGGGAATGGAGAGGGAGAAGGTGGACAGGGAGAGGCGGGAGGGAAGGGCAGAGAACAGGGGGAGGGGTGGTGAGCCACAAAGAGGAAACAGTACTCAGAAGCACATGGTGGTGGTTAAGGACAGAAGAATCTGGTGTGGCTAGGAAGGGCGCGCGGTCAGAGAGTTCATGTCCTGGACAATGACTTCTTCTAAGCCTTACTTACGATGGAAAACAGCCGTGGAGCAAGAAAATCCACGGACTAGCGGGATGCGAAAGATTTTACCCAAGTTGTGTGTGTACCCTTTGAGCATTTTCCTTCTTTATAGTATATTCGACCAGTCGACATGCTCATGAAAATACTCTGTAATAGCTGAGAACCTTCTGTAGAAGAATGTGTGGCCTTAGTTCCCAGTGGGCCAGTCTCTCAACTGTCTGAGCGCTTGGTTAGTGAGGTCTTAAATGGGAGCTCACCCTTCAGACACTGACACCTGAACAACTGACTGAAAAGCAAGTTACACAGACCGCTTGCAACACAGAAAGTATGAACAGGTGAGCTAAGACTGCAAACGCGATCTCGACTTGAGGCAATGTTTTTCCACATAAATCCTTCTGTTGACATGCCTTAAGCACGCAACCCAACACTCTATCAAAACAAAACTTTTTTTTTCATACTAAAGACCCCGGTGTAAAAGACAAGACCCACGTATAATTTTCTTATCTGGGCTTGATTGAGTTGGCTGGGAGTGGTGAATTTTACCATCTGCTCTAAAAAAACATCCTCAAAGCCAACACCTGCCAGGAGGAAAGTCGATCCGAGGGCCTCGCGGTGGCCTCTAGTGAAGGGAGCTGGCCTCGGGGAATGTGGGCTCAGAATGCCACAGTAGCAGGAGCCAAACCCCAGCATCCCACGCACTCTTATTAGCCCGCTTGGTAGGAAAAACCCGACCCTGTCCCAGTACCAGCTGCCGGGATCAAACTGGGCTCTACTGGGACCGGAATCACCCCTAGACCAGGCAGACCGGGAGCCTCCCCTGCTCCCACGTTTCCTCCTAGGGTAACCCGCGCCCATCCAATGAGAAGCCACCTCCGCTCCGCGGCCGCCTGCGCCCGCATCCCCGCGTCCCCTGCGCGGGCGCCAAGGGATGTATGTCCTCGGGCTGGAGGGTCGCGGCCACTGCGCCCGTACCCGTGCTCCTAGAGCCCTCCCCGGTGCCGCCCCGGTACCCCAGGCACCTGCAGGGTCGCCTTCTGCCCGATTCCGACTGGTCGCGGCCAGAAGGCACAGAAGCAGGAGCGGGCATCCGGGCGCCACAAGCGCCCTCAGGCCAGTGAGCGAGCGCATGGCGCGGGCGGGTCGGTCCTGGAGGTCGCTGCTGCACCCTTGGCTTGCTGCTTTCAGCCTCCGATCCGTCCCTGGGCGCACTTGCTGGTAACCGGGCGCCCACTGCCAGTCCCGGGGCCAGGACACGCGAGAAAAAGCGGAGTGGGAGGGGCCCGGCCGCCCTGGCCTCCTCCCCCCTGAGACGCTCCCAGCGCACCCGAGGCTGGCCCAGCCTAGCGCCGGCCCTTCATCAATTATGCAGCCCGCAACCCGCTGCAGGCGCGCCCGGATGTGCTGTGCAACGCCGGCGCCGCATCCTCTCCCGCCCCCACCCGCTCGACTTGCCCGGGTTGGAGAGGCAGCTAGCTAATGGAAGCAGCCAGGTGATGTCTCAGCCCATCACCTCGGGGACGCGTCCCAACTCCCCACAGACTGTTCTTTGCATCCGTTGGGTGCGTTCGCTTATTTAACTTTGATGAGACAGGTGAAGGTGTCAAGATACTTATGCCCCTGTGCACCTTTAGATTTATTTTTGCCAGACCAGAGGCGCTACCCAGTGTCCCCGAGCCCTGAAATTCATGTTCCTCGGAGCTGCCTATCAGTCATGCACACCCTCCCCCAATCTCTGAAGGTTTAGCTAGTTCCCTCCGGGGTTAAGGTTTCAGAATCCCAAGGCCCCCATAGTGTGTTTCCTTTTGTTTGCTCGCCGCAACAGTTTTCCTGGCGCCAAAGAGCTCAAGTAAACAAAAACTAAGTAAAGAGAGTATTTCGTAAACTGCAGAAGGCCAGTCACCTTTATCAAACGTTGTGAAAAACAATGCTATCTCTTATCTATGAGGTACCTGAGTTTGGAATTTTCTTAACTCTCCCACCAAATAAATTAAGTTAATGAGAAACGATTGTTTTGCTGGTCGGGGGAGAGGGATCCTGTCGTCGAACGCAGCAGCCTGGCTTAGCAGTCCTTCAGTCCTGTGGGGACATCCTCTCTGTTAACTTTGCAGGAAGCAATTCCAGAATGAGACTCACACCGGGGTGAAGCACAGCTGCAGTTAATTACAAAGGAGTTTTGCTCAAGGTAGATTTAAATGTGCTGGTTAATACAAAGAATAAAACGCACGGGACACCACATGTGTGGGTTTCAGAGATGTGTCATAACAGTAACCATACGTACCACTTTGGTGGCTATCAAGTTACAGCTCAAGGGACTGCTAAAGAAACTTTTCTTTTTTTCCTTTTATCCCGCTTTTATTGTTAGGTGAAATTGTAGGGTGGCTGGCTCCAATGGTGCCTTAGGCGGAATTAAAATCTGATAAGATTAAATAATGGGCTGCAAGCAGCCTACTGGATAGTTAAATTACTTCTTTGTGCTGTAAGGAATTTCATGTGAAATTCCTGGGAAACTTCAGGTTTGTACATGGAAAGTGAGAAAGGTCATAAACACTGAGGCGTTAAGGGCGATGCATTGCTATTTTTACGTTTTTATTTGAGGTGTATGAAGGCTCCTAGCAAGCCCAGGCCTGGCAAACATGGCTCTGGTAGGCCATGCCCTCTTCCCTGTAGATTGCAGATTACAACCCTAAAGCAAGCCCCCAAAATCTATTCCCTTGTTTAGCCAATTCCTCCTCCTGAGGCTGGCTACCAAGGATCCAGCATTCAAAAGCCCCCTTTGGTTCACGTAATTAGCATGTCCAATCAAACATGTACTACTGCATCCTATCCCATCCTAACCCAGACCTCCCCTTTTTCGCTTCTTAAGAATGGCACCTGCAAGGCCATTTGCTGCTGTTTTTTCTGCCTGAGTCAGAAAGCAGCCACTTTAACTCCCCTACCCCCTTAATAAAGGATTTCTCTGCGAAACCGGGTGTCTGGGTGCTGTTTATACCTAATCCAGGGGTGGGGGAGCCCACACTGTGCAGAGGATTTTCTTCTGTATATATGAAAACAATATGTTCTGTGTTAGCAGTCTTCACAGCAAATGTTAATTGTGCAGAATTCTTGATAACTGAAGAGGCAAGGTTTTATCAAGACTCCAATGGCTTCCTTTTCCTTCCCTCGGCTGGCTAATTTGCTCTGTCTTCCTACCTTGGCTCCCTAAGACTTTGTGGGATATTATGACACAATGAAGATTTAGGGGTGGGGGGCATTTTGGAAGTTTTTTTTTTTTTTTTTTAGACATCACCTAGCTGTGTTGCCGAGGCTGTCCTCCAATCCCTGAGCTCAAGCAGTCTCTCAACCTCAGCCTCTCACCACAGCATAGCATCCACAGCAACTGTGTGTGTGTGTGTGTGTGTGTGTGTGTGTGTGAGTGAGTGAGAGAGAGAGAGAGAGAGAGAGAGAGAGAGAGGGAGAGAGATTTTCAGGAACTGTGTTCCTCCTCTCCTTGCTCTCTTTTGGAAATGTTTATTTTGTGTATGGGTGTCTGGCTTGCATGTAGTTCTCCACCACGTGTGTTTCCCCAGCCTATGGAGGCCAAAAAGGACAACGGGTCCCCTGGAACTGGAGTTACAGATGGCTGTAAGTGGTATGTGGATGTTGAGAATTACACCCTAGTCCTCTGGTAGAGCAGCCAGTGATCTTAACTGCTGAACTGTCTCTGCAGCACCATGACCCCTTACTCTAAAAAAAAAAAAAAAGGTAGGTTTGATAATCATAAATACACTTTTTGCAGAAAGAAACTGATCGTATAGACTGAACAAGAGACTGTTAGCTCCAGAGAGCCACCATTAATTTTTAATTGGTATATGCATATAAAATATGCATGTTCTTGTGTTAATATTACTTTAAAAAAAAAAAAACTTCAGGAAATATGGCTTCTGGCTGGCCTGTGGTGGCACACACCTTTAATCCCAGCACCACTAGGGAGGCAGAGGCAGGTGGATCTCTGAGTTCAAGGCTGTCCTGGTCTACAGAGAGAGCTCCAGGACAGCTGGAGCTACACAGAAAAACCCTGTCTCAAAAAAAAAAAAAAAAAAAAAAAAAAACCAACATTTCAGACAGACAGATGATAAATAGATCTTCTTCTGTAAGTTGTTATTAAAGAACATAAATGAAACAACTCACTGAACAGTATTAAGAGCTATTTGCTGAGTACCAGGTGCTGTGTTTAAAAGGGACAGACATAGAATAACACACACACACACACACAGAGAGTAGACATTTGCCTGTGAACTACAAACCCTGGTGGCCTCATAAAGATAGGCCCGGCCTCCTACCTTCAATAGGTCATTTAAAGGGATAAAGTATGCCAAAGGGATCACCTTGGAAGAGGAAAAACAAGTCTAGAGATCCATCCACATCCATTTCAGGTTCTGACTTCAGGTTTGGGGTTAAATAGAAGGCAGGAGGTATGCAGAATTAAGATGCTCCCCAATCTCCCTTGCAAGGTGGTCTTACAAGTTGTTAAAAACGAGTAAAATCTCTTTCCAGGACACAGGTTTCTTCTCCTACCCTAAGAATCCCAGGAAAATTCCAATTACTCGATGATCATTACTTCCATAGTCTGTTAGCCCCAGGGAGGATCACAAGGGTATTTGTTCTTTCCTGAAAGGGCGATTATAAAGTCTTATAATGCCCAGAGGCCTGCACCTTACACACTGTGACCTTCTCAGGGCCTGGGGTGGGCTAGCTAAACCCAAATTTCCTCAGCAATGACTGCCATTTCACACCAGTCAGCTGCCCTACAGTGATAACTGTGGCCACTTCCCTGCACCTGGGGAGCTTTTAATTGCAATCCTTTCTCAGGCCTGACCTCGGCTGACCTCTCTCAATTAGTCTTACAAAATTCATCTCAAATTCACCCTTCCTCCAATGAGCCGACCCTACCTAAGGAAACTTTTTCGTTACAGTAGTTGAATCTGTCCCTTTATCAACAGGCAGCAGTGGCTTGCAAAACCCGGGTTTAATTTCTGTGGTCATTTTTGTCCTTCTAGCAAAAGAAGTTGAGGAAGAAATACAATTTTTGTATTGAGAAGCGGCTGGAGACTCTCTTGACCTTTGGTACACCTTTACATATATGTATACTGTGTATGGTTTGGTTTTGTCTCTCCATTACACGTCTTCAAAGGCTTGGCATCTTTTACAGCCAGATACTGGGCTAATCTCCCTGTCCAGCTTTCCTGGCCTTTCTATTTAGAATTGCCCTTTCCCTGCCTAATAAATGAGATGTGGCCACAAATGCTTCTGTGATCTCTTAGTGTGGTGAGCAAGAGCACACAGGTCCTGCCTGCTTTTCCCTGAAACACTTAACTGTACAGGCGCCTTCCTTTCCTTTCTCTTTGAGGAGAGCTGCCAGGTGAAGTGCGGTTTCTTTGAGACCCACCACAGAGTAAGAAAGGCAACCTTGGGATCTGTACAGATGAAATCACATCGTGTTTAAAAAAACAAAAACAAAAAAACAAGAGTGCGTTGAACACACAGGAACAGCTTGTGACTGTGAGAAGCCAACTTGTGCTGTCAAGAGTTACTGCTCCGTTTATAAAGCTTAAGAAATTCACTCAAGTCTCTTCGGATTGGCCCTAAAAACATGTATCCTTTGGAAGCAAGTGGAGCTTTTCAAGCTCGTTTGTCCAACGCCAGGTGTTTCAATTTTGTCATACTGGCAAGGAAGAAAAGGCTTCAGTGTGTTTGTGTAGGACTTGCATTTCAAGGAAGCTAAAATCACTTACTTTCTGTTCTGTGGCTATGCCCAGGGGTTGGCATGGCTAGGGCTGCACCAAAGTTGGTTCCCCCCACTGTTAACAATATTATTAAGTCTTCTCTCTGGGTTGATCTGAGAAGGTGACCAGATTATAACCAGTTCTCTCTCTCCACCATCTGTTTCAGTTCCTTGCAGATAGCAAAGGGGGATGTTAATAGATCTTGCCAAAGTGCCCCTACCTGTAGGTTTTGTTTGTCAGTGCTCCTGAGGGGATATTTGCTGAGCCAGAGGCTACAGACAGGCATTCAAGGCTGTTAAGAGACCATGGTGCTCAAGAAATGTTATCACTAGAACCAATAGGGAGATAGGACCAAGACACACAGTATCCCAAACCAACATCCCAAAGCCAATATTTAGCCAACCAAAGAGATAAACGAGTGTGCCTTCCTGACTCTGTGGGAGATTCGAATCTGATCTTTGAGCTGTCTCAGATGTGAGGCTGGGTGTTTTTCCTGCATGTGGTGACTCCTCCTCGGGTTTGTTCCTTTCATTC